GTCATGCCAATGTGGGGTTTTTTGTTCCAGTGGAAGACAAGGAGAAAGAAAGGGAAATGGGATAGAAGGGTGTCAGGCCCAGCCCAAGAACAACAATGAGACAGTCCAGTCCAATATAATTCTTTTATTAGCTCGCTCCTAATAGACAGAATCTCACCAGACTAAACCTATGCTAAAGCAACTAGTGGATATACCCCGTGAAACTCTAGGGAGGGGCTATCCTTACCCTCTTTGCCTTCCCACACTCCTGCTGTGGACTGAGAAAGTGCTTGCTTTGGAATGTTCCTCCTCCTCCTGATATCCTTGATCCTCCATTCCAGTCTCTTCCTCACTCATGCCATCCATTACAAAGGGATAGCTTTCCAGCCTTCCTTGTAGAGCTGGAAAAACTATGCATGTGAAAGACCCAGCTCTCTCATGGCATATGCTGTTGGCACATGAATGCAAATTTGATGTGTGGGAAAGTGGAAGGCTGTAATTTGTCTCCTGCAAATTTATTTACAGGCAGTCCTCACTTAACAACAATTTGTTTAGTGATCGCTTGAAGTTACAATGGTGCTGAACAAAGGGACTTACAACTGGCCTGAGCACTTACAACTGTCACAGCACCTCCACAGTCATGTGATCATGATCCAGGCATTTGGCAACCAGCTCGCACTTATGATGGTTGCAGTGTCCTGGGGTCATGCGATTACCATTTGTGACCTTTCCAGCCAGCTTCTGGCAAGCAAAATCAATGGGGAACCATGTGATTCACTTAATGACATCTGCAAAAAAGGTCATGAAAGTGGGCGTGGCTTGTTTAACAACCACCCTGCTTAACAACAAATGTTCTGGTATCTATTGTGGTCGCTAAGCGAGGACTATCTGTATTCAGTTTAGAAAGTTATAAGACTGCCCAATTCTATAACAACTCTGGGCAACATACAGTAAAAACTAACAGACAATTAAAACAAAACAACAACAGCAACTCCCACCTTAGTCCAGAAGAAAAACGGCCATTAAATGATTTAAATTAAATTCCCCTTATTGTCTCTGAGGCTGTTCCTCTTTTTAAAACCTTTTATATAACAATTACAGACATAATCTGCGTGCATTTAAAAGTTTAGGAATTATCAGAAAAAAGCACTCCCCCACAAAACAATTTCAAAAATAAAATCTGAGTTTGAAACACTGCAAATAATTGTCTTGATACAATTGCTTTGGGTAAATATATCCTACTGCTGATTAAAACCTAGATTTCTGAATTAAGTTCCTAACAGGAATTTTTTTTTTTTTAAAGCTTTTTCATCTCCATATAATGTTTATATCAGTTAATGCTGTTCATTCATTGGCTAAAAAATAGTGAGAAACAGCAACTGACCATTTTTGCAAAACAAATAGGCAAAATGTTGACTATGTATATATATTTCAAGTCCCAGAAGAGTTAAAGATTCACTGTCATAAACCAAGGAATATTGCTCCCACTCTGTACCCCCAGAATCAACATCCCTGAGTGCTGGAGGTGGGTGTGAGATTTTTCCCAAGCTATGCTATTGCTTGCACAACAGACAATCTGCTTTGCTAGTCTGGATTTTTTGTGTGAACTCCAGCATTCACTTGATTGTGGCCTACTACTTTGTTCACATCAATTCAGACACAGATGTATGATACTGCTTTATGATGTTTTATTCCTTTGCCACTTCTCCGGAAATGCCCGTCTACCTCAAATGCATCGTTTGATCCTCTCTACTCCTGGATTCTCTACAACATATTTAAGAAGCACGAAGCAATGCAGGAAAGTTCCAGGTGTCAAGGTTGCCTTTAATTTATGCATGTTATTAAAATTTCCCCTTTACATTCCCTTTGTCACCAAAGCGAGCCAGGAAGTCAGGTGTTGGAAACTGCCTCAAATGCCTGGAAAATGAGGGCTGCAGCCAAACTTTGTAACCTTGCAGGAGTGAATCATGATTCAAATTCAAATAGAACAGCTGTTCCTTGCTGGAAGGTAAGCAGTTTCGGTCTCCCTCTCCCTCTGTACGTGTTTTCAAATGTAAATTGCAAAATGACTAGATCAGATATATTGATTTCCTTGTATAAAAATCTCTTTATTTAGATTTAAAAGAGATACTAGGAGTTTAGCAGGCTTTTAATATGTACATTCCTGCAGATGCTACATTGTGCTTTAACAAAATGTCTAGAAGTATCTATGACCCATGAATCATTTGGGCAAGGCTGGAGTTCTTCAAGCCAAGCAAAGTGGTACTGCAGGTAGGAAGGCAGCTCTGCCACTATTTAAATGAGACAAGCTTGAGATATGATGCATCTCCTATCTCCTTTTCCTACTCAACTGACACTCGCTTTGAGGGAATGTTGTAAATGCAAGAGAGATTGTGGTATAATTCCTCAGACTGGCGTTTTTGCCCCCCAGTCACTATTCGATTATCTTCCAAATTGCTGTGTTTCAGAGAGATAAAGATTTTTTATGGCTTGCTGACTTGAAACAACTAGAAGAGCCAGAAAGAGAGGAAGCTAACTGGCCATGCATAGTAATTCCATTGGTAAATGACAAAATCTTTGTTTGTGTGACATTTCCAAAATTACTGCAGAAGATGAATCTAAAATATAAAATGTCACATTTGGCATGCAAAACTATCACAATATATTTCAGTATAAAATTCATAGAGGCGTTTAATTTAGAATGTGTTTAATAACTCAGTCTGACTGCATCAGTAATCCTGCCTTGAGGTTTTAGAAACATTGTCTTATTTATTCATTCACATGATGTTAATTGTATGTATGTATGTATGTATGTGTGTGTGTGTGTGTATTTGTGTGTGTGTGTGTGTGTATATATATATAAATAATATTAAGGTTAATACTTCACTATTAATTAAGAATTTTCTAATTTAACTTAAATAATTGCACTGAGATTAGGTTGTTAAGTACAGATTGTGTTGACAAAAACAAGAGGCTTAACTCCTTCAAGTGTTTTTTTTTTTTTTTAACACTGCTGAATGTAACTTCATATGCTTTCTATCTATATGGAAATATGCTGTTTCTCCTATTATACATCGAAGCCAGGATTTTTTAAAAAGAGATAATTGGTCGCTATATTCCTTAGGGCATGCCAGGATTAAAATCTTTGTATTCTGTGGGCACTCTCATAATCATACACCCCAAGTTAAATAAATATTTCCATTGTATACAGCGTATAGGGCTTATACTATTATCCCACATATGACTAATGTATGACTACTTATATGGTTAAATATCTTTGCTATATCAAATAAATCATCTGAGATCCTGGAGAGATTGTAGGCCCGTGGAACAGTGTGCACATTGTGCCCAGCCCTGGTTTAAAGCACAAATTCTGAAATATTTTGTCAAAGGTATGCTTTTTGTGTGTGTTATCAGATGTCATGTTAAACAATTATCTCCCAGGATCAATTACTTTATTTTGAAATTAATATATAAAGAAACACTTTTTGCAGCATGATTTAATAAGATAAAAGCTTACTGTATACCTTACAATACTAGAACCTTAATCTCTCTAACAACAACATGAATAATTTAATGTGTCCATTGGAAAAAATCAAGAGGTTAAGCCTTTGCTTCATGATTTCAGTACAAGTTGGGTAATGCTGGGAGGGAGAAAAAGGTGATACATTGGGACAATGAATACGCTGTTTGAGGATAATTAGACCTGTAGTTCAGCAACGGGGGGGGGGGGAGGTGTTGGGGAAGGTTGGTGTAACTATTCCACTCTCTTTGTGGGAAACAGACTAAAGTATTTTTAGTATTGCCAAACAGAAGCAAGCCCTTTTTAAAGGGGTGTGGTGGGGGGGAAGGAATTAAGGCAATGGCCCCCAAACTCTCCCTTGTAGGGGATGAAATCTGAAGTATATTTCAGTATTTGAAAAAAACTGGATGGATCAATATTTTTCATTCAAACAGGAAAACAGATAAGTTAAAATATATTGCCAAGAGTTATTTCAGAAGTTCAGGATTCCCCATGTAGTCCTGATTACTTGACTATTGACTTCAATGGACAGAGAGAGAGAGAGAGGAGAAAAATATTATATTGACATAGAATACACTGAAAAGAAAATAAGGGTTGGGGGAAGGTTCAAAATAACCTTTTCTCCCAACTCATCTCAGACGTTTTAAAAAGTACTGATCAGAAGTGTTGCTTTCTCCCACTTTTTTCCTTTAGATTAACTGGACTAAAAAATCTCAATTTACTGAGATCCATCTAAAGTGCTTACGGGGTATCAAAGACAAAGTGCCACAAGGTAGTTACAGTCTCAAGGTTTCCATCTGTAAACAACTTGATGGAAATTTTCTTTCTTGTTCCAAAGTGGATGGACAACAACTGGCTGGAATGTCACTGCCTGCGAGACATAATGGGAACTTCTATGATGTGGAGATCTCTTTTGAACAAAGCGTACACATAGTAAGTGAAGTTTTTTTTAATATGTTCTTTTTGTTTTATGATTGGAAAAAAAGTATTCTGTACTGAGTTACATTACTTTCCAAAACTGAGTGCCTTCCATACATGTTAGGCCAACTCCTTTTTTTCCACGTTGGCTGGAAATCCTAAGAACTGAACTTCAACACAGCTGGAAGGTCCCAGTTTGGGGAAATATTTAATACATTTTTTTACACTCATAATCTATATAATATTTTAAGGTAAAATTTGGCTACAGGCAGACTTTTCTATCTTCTCTTACTAATATACAAATTATTTCAGTCATTGAAAATAGTTATATAGCAAATAAGCAAGTAATATATTTATTACAGTATTACAAAATTACCGGATATATTAAGCCCTAGATTATGCAGCACTGTCAGCCACATTTAGGTTTTTTGCTTGCTTCTTAAATGGTCTATGCAGCTTGTCATCTGTGTAATTTGATTTGGGTAAAGTAGCTTTAGAATAATAAATGAATAAGTAGCTATAGATAAATACATGAATGTACATATCTTTTTCTATGTTTTAAGCTTCATGGATCCCCATCTGTGAAAAAAGAGAAGTATTTTGAACAAACCACCAATAGATAAATATGTGGAAAAACAGAAGTTGTTGGTGATCTCAGAGAGGTGGGGGAAACAAACTTAAAGAATGTTTTCATTTGTCTGATAAACACAAAGTTTATTACTCCCCAATAAATACATTTACTTTTCTTCTTTTTTTTTGTGGGCCAAAAGTTTATGTTAGCTTATTGCAGTATTGAGCCCTCCCTGTAAAAAGTAAAAAGTAGCCTGGAAGAGGACAAAACCAACACATAAACGAACACAATATTTCCCAAAACAGAGTGGCAAGGCAAAGTAAATTTGATTAACTTAAATGTAATTAATTATTATATGATACATATATTCTTATTATTCATCTTGTGTTTTTCCCCTATCACAAGCAATTTTACAACTCTGCCCTCTGGATAAAACAACAGCAACAATAGGGACATGGTCCAGGTCTTTAGAAACTGCCTATTATCATGGCAATTCGTGCTGTGTACCTCTGATTTATTGGATAAAACTTGTTCATTGGATTATCAGAAAGCACAGTGATTGGCTACTGTGAATTGATGTGATTGTACATTTGATGGATTTTGTATAAGAGACCTATATTTAACCCCTCCAAAGATGAATCACATCTCTTTGCCTATCCTGACAAGTATAAAGGATACGTGTATCTATTTCTTGCATTAACTTTCACTACATTCCATTTTAATTTCTTTTTTGCTAGCAGCAATTAGTCATGGATTGGGTTTCTGTCTCAAAAGCATATTTATGCTACTTGCTTGTCATGATACTTACACAAAAGATCAACAGTTTAGGTTTCCTGTAGGCAACTGACGGAAATAGTGCGCTGGAATAGATAAGCCGCTGGTTTGATCTAAACAGACCCTTCTTATGCTGTTATGTGACTCGGTCTTTGGAGTCTTTGAGTCACTGGCTGGTTTTTAACAAAGGCAGTGTTTCTCCACAGGACTTGCCTGTCGAAATTGTCTCAGGAGGTGGATGCTGGAGGGCAGCAGTAAAACATTGAAAGAGAGTAGAATATTATAGGCCCTGAACTGCTCCTCCCAAAATCACCTGCTGCCTTCAGTGTAGTTGAGAACTTTGTCCCATCTTCAAATGAAAGGAAGAGTCTGGTCTACTTGAGTTTTGGTACATGGAATAGAAGGGAGAACCATTTTTGTTCAGGGCAGCAACTTGGCCACTTTGGCATTCCATTGGTCAGGGCCTCCTATGGCATTCCAGAAAACATGCTGGCTGGGAGAGGATGCTTGTGAAACTCTTGCAGGCCAGGCAAATTGATTTCTTATGCATCTTTCCTATACTGTTTTTTTTTTTTTTAACGCATGGCTCATATCCCAATTCAGAATGCTTTCTGCAGTGCCTATGGCAAGATGCATTCCAGAAATATGGGAAGCTAGAGGGAAAGGTGGAACACTAGGCAATAAAAGTTAAGCAAGTACACCAGTACCCTTAGCCATTTCTTAAGTGTATTAAAACAGGGCCCAACTCTTTCCCCAAGCTTGAAATTGCACCAAAATACATCTTCCCCTGTTTTGAAGTGATTGACAATTGAAATTAGCTAAGTGATCAGTTTCACTTCAGTTTGTATCTCTGGAAATATGTTTCTCTGCTGTACGAGTGTGTGTGGAGGGGAGGCTATTATTGCAAAATACAGTAGGGAGCCTAGTTTAGTAATACTGAACTGAAGTTCTAACCCACATTGGCCAATAAGGACTGGAACATTTAAAATTGTAAATTATAAGCAAATTGGAGTTTGGGAGGTGGGAGGTGTTTGTTATGCATGAAGTCCAGAAAGATAGAAAAAAATGAAATGAAGTTCCTTCTTCTTGGGAAAATGGCAAATACTTAATATGAAGGAGACTTTTGCTGTTACTGGCCATAATTCAGAGATGGGGTGCAATTTAAAGAAAGTTAAAATTAAATATGCATGCATGATTTTGAAAGACAGCACACTTGTAACAACTGTATAAGAGAGATTGTTGCAGAATATGACAATCTTCCAAAAATAATAGCTCCCTGATGTTAGCAAGTTGGCATCAGACGGGTTACTTAATCTGAGTTGAACATCCAGCCTTTACCCTCAAATATTCTCTATTCATTAATCCATGTTTTTGCTTAACTGATTGGTTTCATTTTTTCTTCTTACTTTCTTTATCAGGTCCTCTTAGCCATTTCTGATGAGAGGATAGCATTTTGTTCATGACACTCCTATGCATTTTAAAAAGTATGGAAATTGGCTTGGGATTATGGGAGTTGTAATCAAACCACCTATAAAGGGCATTGGCTTGGGAAAGGATGCTTTGGTTTGTAACACTTTGATAAGCTATTATTTGCTATTTATGCGTACATCTATCCTTTCACAAACTAAACCAGAAAACAGTGTAAACTATCCCTATAAAGCTTTGAGATTAGGAGGGTGTGTGCTAATTGTATGCAGCAGGGAGTCTCTATGGATAGACCTGTAAAGGCTGAAGTGTATATGATCCTAGTATTCCAGGATTTGAAATCAGGTAGGACACTCCCTACTGAAAATCCTGTACTAGGGGAAACTGGTTCTTCACTGATGTCAGAGGGTTCACAGTGACTCATGTGGTGAGTTGTAGGGTGGACCTTCATAAGGATTTTGGAGCACTTGGTCAGATTTCAGAAAAGCAAAAAGAATGAGTGCATAAATCATGACTTTCCCAAAGCATTTCCATTTTGAAAATATGGAAGATTTGCAATCTATCAAGGAAGTGAAGATCCTTCCATTGACATATGTGGATCATAATTCAATTTCAATACCATGGTTCCAAGGAGAAAAATATAGAAGTGCCTTTAAAAAAATTAAAAATGCCTTTTAAATGGAGGATGCATAACACATTATTACTCCAATAAGGCATATTATGAAAAGTAAAGAAGAACTAACATGTTTTTTCAAAATAAATACAATTCCAGGGATGTCAAAGACAACCATATGGGAGACAAGTAAAGCCTTCAAGAGTATAAGATTTGTAGCAAACCAGAAAAAACAATAAAACAGATAGAAATTACAGCTGGAAGAAAAAATAAAGGAACTAGAACAAATTCACAAAACCAATCCAAAATGACAAGTATTGAGACAGCTAAATAAAGTCAAACAACAAATAGACTTTTTAAAAATGGAAGAATTCCAGAAGAAGATAACATATGTCAAACAAAATCACTTCAAGAATGAAAACAAACCAGAATTTTTCAAAGAATTTTACTCTAAGCATAAAGTTGACAAAGAAGGCTTGAAAACATATACACTATTGAAGACATAGAATTTAAAAAATTAACTAAGAACACAGACAAATATTACATAAACCAGTTACAGGACATTAAAGAAGCAATAAAGAAAATTAAAATTGGAAAGGCACCAGGCCTAGATGGGCTGATGGCTCAAAATTACAAAAACCAAGAGGAAAAATAGGTGGAACCACTGTTGAGGACAATGAATGAAATCCAAGTGACAAAAACAATACCAAAGACACAGGAAGAAGCATATATAACTGATTTATTAAAAAGGAAATGATTTGAAGAAACCTCAGTCATATAGACCAATTTCTTTATTGAATGATGAACATAAGATATTTACCACAGTATTAGCTGAACCCATGAGGGAGTACATTTCTGAAATCATACATACAGATTGAACTGGTTGCATTCCAAAGAGGAAGATGAAAGACAACAGCAGCTTTATAATAAATGCATAAGAATGCATTAATAAGAAATAAAAGAAGGTGGTGGTAATAAGATCCTTAGACACAGAGAACACTTGGACAATTTGGAATGGAGTTTCCTACTAGAGGTATTTGACAAAATGAACCCAGGAGAAAAAGTCAAAATTTGGATGGAGAGTGTGCATCAATACCAAAAGCAGAAATCACAGTGAATGGAAAGCAGTCTATAAGCTTTTCATGAAATAAAGACACAAGACAAGGGTGCTCACTGTCACCTTTACTATTTGTAATCACTCTGGAAGTCCTGACAGACAAAATCCAAAAAGACAGACAAATAACTGGCATCAAACTTCAAGGAGAGGAATACAAAATGATATGTGGACGATGAAGTACCAGCAATAATACTTCCACTAAACTCTGTAAGAGACCTGATGAAAATAATTTAAAATTTTGGCCACTTTTCTGGGTACAAAGTTAATGAAAAGAAAACAAAGATAATAACAAAGTATCTAACTTCTGCAGAAGAAGATTTGGTGAAAAGATTGACTGTGAGACAATAAAAATCCCGTGAAATACTTAGGACTTTATCTGATAGGACGTAATAAAGTTATATTTCAAAGCAATTACAGCAAGTTATGGAAAGAAATAAAGCAAGTCCTTGAAAAGTGGAAAAACGTAAAACTTTCTTGGCCGGGGCTTATTGCCCAATCAAAATGAATATATTATT